AGATAGCTATATTTGGAAACAATAACCCTGTTATATCTGTTACATAACTCTTTTATAACTCTGCTAGATCTGACTGAAAAGTTTCGAGTCAAACTAACATAGAAGAACATCAATTAGAAAGGCAAAACCGGAAATCATCCTTCTGGTGTCTTGTTCCCAGTATCTCGTAAGATACGCACCTCAGAGTGGCCACCAACGCTTGCAGAACTCGTTTACATCTCAAATATAATATTTACTTTCAGTGAACTATGGCTGTCAACAATCCGATATTACATCAGACATTCTCATTTCTGAAATTGATAATATTACAAGCTTCCTTTCAGGTCTATAATCTCTTGAACAATGTTCAATCTACCCACAGTTGTAGCAGTTGTCAGGTCAACCTTTTCCTCTAACTCTGAGTGCAGGTTATCGTCCCAGTGTCCTTGTTGTTCGTTTGTGGGATTTTATTCGCCTATTTGACCAGCTTCTGATGCTGTCGTCGCTGCGAAATGTTCTTCTTCTACCAGCTGGTGCCTCTTGGCCTTACAAAACCTTTAATCTTTGACTCTGCGGACGAGCTTCTTTGATCCTAGAATACCTCCTCACTCCTCTATGCAACCAAACGTTCTTTGTGATGTTTCACCAGTTGTCTTCTTGCTCTTAATCCCTGAAGCCTGCAGTATAAAATGCTACTTAGAATACACTAAGTACTCCAAAAGTTCAGTAGTGTCAGTTGGAGCCAATCCTTGAACAAAAATTCCGTCAAATGGTTTATCTCCATCACTTAAAGTCACTCCAAACCTCCGGGAAAGTTTGCAAGTCTATTCTAGCAACTCCCTCAACTTTCATCTGAACGCTTTAGTTGTTAATTATAAATAATATCTTCAGTGATGTGATGTTTAACGTCTCGAAGCTTCGGCACTCTTTTAAAGTCAACTGCATGTACGCCTCTCTTGAGCTTCTTGTGTCTTTGTACTGAACCAAATAAGCCCACTCTGCTCCTGGCTATTACTTTAACTGTTCCTGTCTGCTTGAAATGTTACAAATTACTGAGTCTGTTCCGCTAGGAAAACTGGGACCAAACACTCCCTGCTCTTCCTGTGGTCTCTGCCGAGGCTGCCACTAGGAATGCTAGGGGGGCAGGAGAGCTACACTCCCTGCTCTTCCTGTGGTCTGTGCCGGGGCTGCCACTAGGAATGCTAGGGGGGCAGGAGAGCTAGTGTCGGCTCTCCCAGCATATTTCCTCCTTCTATATCCACTCTAATTTACAGCTCTCTCTTCTTGCTATGCTCTTTAAGAGCATAGCAAGACAGCTCTCTACTGTTTATCCTACATCTATAACTGTCTATATGCAGGCGATGAGTCACAATAACGTTGTTGAAGAAAGTTGACCAGTCCACACACTAGAAGGTGAAGGGACGACGATCATTATATTTTTAAATCAACCATCATTTAAAACAGTTTCAGAAGACAAGTCAATACATTATAGGCGGTTCAATCATTGTACCAGTTACAATGAATGTTGTAACAATCTCATTATTTCTGTCGTAATGGCATCGATGAACCAGTGAAATTGGTGTTAGTCTATGTTCTTACGTCAGGTATATGAGCTGGTTGGAGATTTAAACCACCAAAAGAGAGCTCTGGTTGTTGCACCAGACTGTTACTTGCGTACAAGCGGACAGCCCCAACTACTCCCTGACAGAATGCAACCCGTTCTCGCAAATTCGTAAAGTCAATATTGACTTATTAACTACGTGGATAGGTGATATACTAAACATAATAGATACCCTTAAAAAGATTCATAGAAAACACCGACCTTACCTAACCTTGTTAGTATCTTAAGATAAGCATCTTATTGCTTCGTAATTACAATTATTACTTAACCTATACCTATTATAGGTTAGGTAATAATTGTAATTACGAAGCAATAAGATGCTTATCTTAACATACTAAGTAGGTTAGGTAAGGTTGGTGTTTTCTATGAATCTTTTTAAGGGTATCTATTATGTTAAGTATGTCACCTATGCACATATTTAATAAGTCAATATTAACTTATTAAATTTGCGAGAACGGGTTGCAGAATAACACCCGACCTCAACAGCCATGCGCACACTACCTAATTACCTAATATTGTTCTAAACTCAGGGAATAATGTTGTAAATTACTATATGAAAAAAATATTTTAATTTTTGTTTAAAAAAATAGTTGCCAATCTGCTTTGTATTTGCATAAAGGAGTGAATCTTCCTACCTTCCCTCCCCGCGGGCCTGGGGAGGGAGTGGTGACTTTATTTAGCTTAGGTGTTTTAACGGGGTACGACTGAAATATGAGAATCAGAAATATTCCATTAATTTTCCCGGCATCAGTAAATACTGGTGCATATTATAAAAAAAGATCTGATTTGATTTTTGTATATTTTAATATTTACACCCAATACAAAATAAATACCATTTGACAATACCAAAAAATTGTCGTCGTTGAGATATGAATGTGACCCTAGAATGCTGCTCCCTTTTTAATTCTGGCGACCCCGACCAGCCTATGTTCATCCCCTACCCCAGACCATTCCTTCTGATAATTTGGGTAAGCCAAGCCGTAAGCATATGTCCTCCAACTTTAGCTAGATAGAGAGACAATTCCTCAAGAGAATGTCTGTCTCGTTGTCTGAAAGACATTCTCATTCTCTTGAGAACTCTTTCAAGACATGAAGAAATCACGAGCACTTTTTAATCGAAAATGTTGTATTTAATTTATGAATCTGTTGACGAAATGTTGGACAATAGATTTCCAGTTTGTATCTCTAGATATTTAAAATACTTTCTTCATACCTGAAAACCATGTCTACTGGATAAACGTTTATTTTATCTATAAATTACCCTGATAGGATAAAATATAATTTCAAGGCAAGGGAACAGATTCAATAGTTGCAGTAGAATGAATTTACGGTAACAGTTACGAAAGCTGTTATCCAGTGATGAGATAAGTTATTAGAAAATCAAACATGACCAGGCTTCCTATATAGGTAATCTCTAAGTAAACCCAAACCTATAATCGATACGTAAACTTATTGTACTTCACTTATTTGAGTGCTTCTTTACAAGGCGTTCGGGTCGTTAGCGAAGACGTAACGATGTGATCAGAGCGTGTCCCAAGGTCATTACACACTAATGAAAGGGGTCACGCCCACAGCAGAAGGGAAGATATTGCCGGTACAGACGCGACCCCCTCAGTGTGTATGTGTGTGTGTGTGTGAGGGTGTGTGTGTGTATGTGTGTGTATGTGTGTGAGTGTGAGTGTGAGTGTGTGTGTGTGTGTGTGTGTGTGTGTGTGTGTGTGTGTGTGTGTGTGTGTGTGTGTGTGTGTGTGTGAGGGTGTGTGTGTGTATGTGTGTGTATGTGTGTGAGTGTGAGTGTGAGTGTGTGTGTGTGTGTGTGTGTGTGTGTTTATGTGTGTGAGTGTGAGTGTGTGTGTGTGTGTGTGTGTGTGTGTGTGTGTGTGTGTGTGTGTGTGTGTGTGTGTGTATGTGTGTGAGTGTGTGTGTGTGTGTGTGTGTGTGTGTGTGTGTGTGTGTGTGTGTGTGTGTGTGTGTGTGTGTGTGTGTGTGTGTGTGTGTGTGAGTGTGTGTGTGTACTCACCCAGTTGTGCTTGCAGGGGTTGAGCTCTGGCTCTTTGGTCCCGCTTCTCAACCGTCAATCAACTGGTGTACAGGTTCCTAAGCCTACTGGGCTCTGTCATATCTACACTTAAAACTGTGAATGGAGTCTGCCTCCATCACATTACTGCCTAATGCATTCATTTGTCAACTACTGACATTAAAAGGTTCTTTCTAAACTCAGGTTTAGAAAGTGTATGTGTGTGTGTGTGTGTGTGTGTGTGTGTGTGTGTGTGTGTGTGTGTGTGTGTGTGTGTGTTGTGTGTGTGTGTGTGTGTGTGTGTGTGTGTGTGTGTGTGTGTGTGTGTGTGTGTGTGTGTGTGTGTGATGGTAAGTGTGTGCGAATTGTCTATTATACATGGATCCATTCATGTATGTATACAAATATATTCATACATCTCATGTACGTGTACAATCCATCATTCACTTTTATATGTAAAACATTTATGGATGTGTTTTTATACATGTGTTTATATACCTGTGTACATGATTGTGTGTATAAGTGTGTGTCCCAATGTTTGTATTAACGACACTTTAAGACTTCATATAATGATGGTAAAATGCGCATAGTGCCTGTATTTATCGAGAAAATCATTTCTATAATGAGGAACAGAAATACGTATAATGAGAGGTAAAAACTTATAAAGTTCCCAAATTATAGGCTGAATGCGATAATGACTTTGAAAAGCAAATAATAATGACGTGAGATGATTATGATGACGATGAGAGATGCGTGTCACGACGGTGAGAAATAAGTATATTGAGAGGTGTATAATGAATGGCGGAGGAGAGCCTGTGGGAAAAGGCATTAATGGTCTGCACAATTTATTTACACTCTTAGCGTGGGATTACCAGACACAAAATATGTAATGGTTCAGAGAGAGAGAGAGAGAGAGAGAGAGAGAGAGAGAGAGAGAGAGAGAGAGAGAGAGAGAGAGAGAGAGAGAGAGAGAGGAAGGGAAGTAAGTGAATGAGAGAGCTGAGTAATAGAGAAAGGTGAGTGACAGTGTATGAGGAAATTAAGGCGAATGCGAGTGGTGAGAGAATGAGTGTGAGTGTAGGTAGAGATGAGTTAAAGAACGCCGGTGAGGGAATAAACAAGTCAATGGTGAGTGAGATAGTGAAGATGAGTGAGAGATTGAAGGTAAGTGATATAGTGAAGGGAGTGAGATAGTGAAGGTGAGTGAGATAGTGAAAGGTAAGTGTGTGAGAGAGACGGTGAGTGTATGAGAGAAACGGTGAGTGTGAGAGTGTGAGTGCAGGAGGAGGGAGAGTAATAATGAGGCGGGAACTTCCTCCAGTGCTACCTCAAGGCAGGAAGCTCATTAAGGGAAACAAACAAAGGCCTCGCGTACAAAGGAATTTAAAAATGTAGGTATGTGTGATGGTGTGGCCCTGATGGTGTGGCCCTGATGGTGTGACCCTGATGGTGTGGCTCTGATGGTGTGACCCTGATGGTGTGACCCTGATGGTGTGGCTCTGATGGTGTGACCCTGATGGTGTGGCTCTGATGGTGTGACCCTGATGGTGTGACCCTGATGGTGTGGCTCTGATGGTGTGACCCTGATGGTGTGGCCCTGATGGTGTGGCCCTGATGGTGTGGCCCTGATGGTTTGGCCCTGATGGTGTGGCCCTGATGGTGTGGCCCTGATGGTTTGGCCCTGATGGTGTGGCCCTGATGGTGTGGCCTTGATGGTGTGGCCCTGATGGTGTGACCCTGATGGTGTGGCCCTGATGGTGTGGCCCTGATGGTGTGGCTCTGATGGTGTGACCCTGATGGTGTGGCCCTGATGGTGTGGCCCTGATGGTGTGGCTCTGATGGTGTGACCCTGATGGTGTGGCCCTGATGGTGTGGCCCTGATGGTGTGACCCTGATGGTGTGGCCCTGATGGTGTGGCCCTGATGGTTTGGCCCTGATGGTGTGGTCCTGATGGTGTGGCCCTGATGGTGTGGCCCTGATGGTTTGGCCCTGATGGTGTGGCCCTGATGGTGTGGCCCTGATGGTGTGGCCCTGATGGTGTGGCCCTGATGGTGTGGCCCTGATGGTGTGGCCCTGATGGTGTGGCCCTGATGGTGTGGCCCTGATGGTGTGGCCCTGATGGTTTGGCCCTGATGGTGTGGCCCTGATGGTGTGGCTCTGACGGTGTGGCTCTATTGGTGGGACTCTCGTTGCGTCGTGGTGTGACGGTCCTATTTTAATGCTGTGACGGTCCTGATGTATTGGTGTGACGTTCCTATAGTGTGATGGTCAGTGTGAGGCCGTCAATGTGACACAGTGTAGAGACAAAACCGCGAACAAACATTCACCAACATATACATTCCCTCCGACTATCTGATAAAGGAACAGCTATGTTGCGAGGAGATCCTTTTAATCTGCACAGTTGCCCAGATAACACGGGGTAAATAATGAGTTTTAAAATGAAGCTCTAATGCCTTTCTCTCCGCGACTTGTGCATTCTAAGCCATAAACGGATAATATACATAGCGGAATATCGGGAGAAATTAGGCGAGATTAACTGCGTCGGTTCCTCATAATGCAAGACAGAGGCGTAACTCACAATAATGAGACGACTGTGAGCCTCCAGCCACGACAACATCCTGGAATATTAACGGCGAGGGCTGCCTCCCAAGACCCTCCTGCTGGTGCTGCAGGAGGACACGACCGCAACACCAGACACAGCGGGATAACATCAGCAGTAGTAGCAGCACCTTAAATTTAAGTAGCTTCGGCGGTAACACAAGTAACTGCAGTAACACTGAAGCACAAGTGATGGAAATGTCTGTAGCAAAAGTAGTTGTAACAACAAGAACAAAATTCACAACGTAGCAGCAACAACAGGAGTCAATGCAGTACTGGCCACACGGGAGCTAGCGGCATCATTAACACCACCCGAGTCAACAGGAGACAGTCCCATATCACCAACACCCCCGATAACAACAGGAGACACAGCATCACCATCAATAACAGAGCCTAACCAGAGCAAGACATAGCTGAAGAACCACACCAGGTGTCTTATTACTTACGCTTCGACAAATAAATCCCATTGTCCTATTTGCCTTATTACGAACATTTATGCTTTGATTTTTCTTTTAATTCTTATTAATCATAACTCCCAGATCCCTTTAACTAATCATAACTCCCAGATCCCTTTAACTAATCATAACTCCCAGATCCCTTTAACTAATCATAACTCCCAGATCCCTTTAACTAATCATAACTCCCAGATCCCTTAAATATTGCTGCTCAAACATCAATATAAATCATTTATATTATGAATAACAGAACAGAGCCGTGAGGCACTCCACTTACAACATTTTCTCACTCTGACTTAACCACATTTATACTAACTCTTTGTTTCCGTTGGTATAGCCATGCTCTAATCGAACTTAACATAGCACCCCCAATACCGTGAGTCTCTAACTTTTTAATCAGTCTTTCATGTGGCACTGTATAAAAAGCTTTGCTAAAGTCAAGGTACACAACATCACAAACCTTACCACTATCAACTACCTCAACTATGCAGGAATAAATTGATAGCAAATTTGTTAAACATGAACGGCCATTTGTAAAACCCTGTTGTGAATCATAAATTAATTTACGTTTTTCAAGATGAAGACGAATGGTATTTTGCAGTTATCATACGAAGTTATCATATCATTTACGAAGTGGATCCATCAGGAATGTAGTTTGACACTCCAATGACCATGAAAAGTAACGAGCTTAAGTTAGAATTTCATACCGTCTCGAAATGATGAGTTGTTGCATACCCTTATGAGGCTTAAGGGAACTATCAGGAGAAAGCGCCAAGCCACTTGGAAGGGGGTCAGGATAAAGACTTGGGATTGGACGGATGGAAAGGAATGGTGCCCAACCACTTGGACGGTCGGGAATTGAAGGCCGACCTGCATGAAGCGAGACCGTCGCTCTACCGTCCAGCCCAAGTGGTCGAGCAGGATGGCCTACCTTCGCCCCCATCTCTAATATGCACCACTCACCTAGATGGTCTGCCGTTCGTTCCACATTTATCAGAATTTTGAACGAGGCAGAGAACCGTGCGAGATAATTCATCTCCAGCATCCCAGAGATGATTTCAGATCTACTATTATGTACAAGTCTCCCAAGTTGTCAAGGCTTCCCATCTGACTCCACTTCGTATACAACCAGAAGTTGGTAATCACAACACAAGGCGCTCAGCAATGAGCAGCCTCATGCTGGCTCTGACTTTCTCAATACAACAACGATTATTTATTTCTAATCGTAATCGCTGATTCACATATGGAACGAGAAAGAGAAAGTGAGAGAGAGAGAGAGAGAGAGAGAGAGAGAGAGAGAGAGAGAGAGAGAGAGAGAGAGAGAGAGAGAGAGAGAGACAGACAGACAGACAGACAGACAGACAGACAGACAGACAGACAGACAGACAGACCGACAGACAGACAGACAGACAGACAGATAGACAGACAGGCAGACAAACAAAGCGGGTATAAATGTGCATCCAAATTTTAGAAAAAAATATTACCTCACAATGTTCATTCATTTCATCCTATACAGTGAACACATAAAATAAAAACTATGGGTTGAATAACTCTTGAAAAACTCATGCCAAATATACACAAAATAATGCAATGATGACTTTTAAAATACAGTGATCTCTCAAAAAAAAAAAAAATAAAAAAAAAATGAAAAACTCCATTGACAAAAATAGCTTCCAAACATTCATCCGTGACCATAAATTCTCTAGCTAAAATACTAGGGTCAGCGTATGCTTGCATTGAATGCATTAATACACACTCAAAAACGGGGTTAGAAAATATTTTAGCTACAAATAATGAAACTAAAAGTGGCAAACGAGAATCAGACGCGTTCATTTCAACAACGATTATTTCAGCTCGTAAAAGGTGGGCCAGGGAAAATAGGGTTATCCTGAGGTTATCTTGAGATGATTTCGGGGCTTAGCGTTCCCGTGGACAAGTCCTAGACCAGTCCTCCTTTTTCTTATACACCCCCAGGAAGTAGCCCGTAGCAGCTGTCTAACTCCCAGGTACCTATGTACTGCTAGGTAACAGGTGGATCAGGGTGACAGAAACTCTGTCCATATGTTTCCGCCTCCACCGGGGATCGAACCAGAAACCTTAGGACTACGAATCCGTAGCGCTGTCCATTCAGCTGTCAGGCCCCAGGCCCCTCAGCTGTCGGTTAAAGGAATGAAAAGATTTTAAGGACGAAAAATGGGGAAATGAATGAGATGGACAGAAAAAGTTCCGAAGCATATCGAGATGTCCTTGGAAAGGAGAGGAATTAAGTCGGGGGAAAGAACTAGAAAAGGTAGACCCCTGCAGCCCCGCCAAGCCCGATATAGCGATGCAGCAATGAACAAGGACTTTTATCTGCCGCTTGGCTCTTCTTGGTCCCCCAGTGCTTTGTGGCAGTATAGGTAATACACAACTATCCTATCCTTCGGCTAGATGCTCAGTTAAATTCTGGCTCTATTCTCTTCGCCTATGATGCTTCCTCTCCTGACTATTCTGTCCCGACTTCCTGCTCACCATTCATTGGCAACTTTACCTGTACACTTGTATGTATGTATGTATGTATGTATGTATGTATGTATGTATGTATGTATGTATGTATGTATGTATGTATGTATGTATGTATATGTATGAGATGCGAGAGATGACGACCAGCAGAACGGGCCTTCACAGACATCCATACAAACTATCTCCGATACGATTGCAGTGTTGTGGATGTTTACAAACCCCACTAATGAGAGTATGTTGAACCCCTATGGGAATGATGAAAGGCAATTGGGCTGTAGTTTGAGCAGTTATAACATTCATCCTTCCAAGAGGAAGGGAAGCTTAGAGGACAGACAATGGCGAAAGAGACGAGCTAATGAAAGTGTAAGACCCGAGTCAAACTCCATCTCATCAGTAGTAAGATATCTGGAATTGTCCATTTTCATCTATATAAATAGAAATAGAAATATTCGTTTGTTCAAAATCGCTAAACTCCGAAAGTTCTTCACCGATTGCTTTGAAATTTTGACACAATGTCTCATTCACATACGAGCGTGTTTTCATATGCCTACTATAAAGATGTAACGTCTGTGACAGGTGAAAACATGATTTTAGGAAAAACTGTATTTTTCATGTAAATTTTCATGTGAGGGAAATCTCTGAAACCTCTTTACCGATTGCTTTGAAATTTTGACACAAGTTGCTTCTGAATTCTCACATTTGTTTTTATATACCTACTATATACATGCCACACCTATGAGAGGTAAAATCATGCTTTTTTGAAAAACAGGCCCAGCTGTTGGACATAAAATCAACACACACTATACTAAATATGTTACAATTCCATTTCAGTGTTTCTGATTGCATTGTTAAATTCAATTTTCATAGATTTCGATTTATTTGCATTTTGATTGAATTATTTTGTGTGACATTGCATTGGAATTGAGCTGTGTTGTTTACCATACTTTTTATTTTGTAAGTATAGTTTATTTTCATATTTTTTCATTTTTTTCATTTCGTTTTTTTAACTGTTCTTATTTTTCACTTCAAGTTGATCTAAATAGGGTTTTGAAATGGTCAAAAGATTGGCAGATACAGTTTAATGCTGATAAGTGTAAAGTTCTGAGGCTAGGTAATGATGATAGAGTTACATATCACTATGTAGTTAGTTACATATGTGACATATTTCAAGTCATTTGTTTCAAGGCACTAACTCTTCCTCTCAGTTTTATTAAACAATAGAGATTTTATACAAAATTTGACAATATCCTGAGTTACTTTACAATTTATTGAAATATTTTAGTTTTGTTTTTATTATTTTTATACAACTGTAATATCAATATAGGTATAGGTTCAGTACTAATTGTAATATCTTAACATACTAAGAAGGTTAGGTTAGGTCGGTGTTTTCTATTTCAGCTTTTTAAGGTAAACTCAAATATTCACAATATATTAGCATGTCACATATGCACTTATTCATAAGCCAAATATTGACTATAAGCAAGTGCGAGAACGGGTTGCAGCGATAGATAGACACAGAAATTTAGTTTTTTAACTCACACATGTATTGGGTCTTTCCTTCACCTTCATTCAAAATTAACGGAAGTGTAGTAAGTTTCTCCAATATTATTTGTATTATTCTTAAACATGTGAGCATAACAGAATTAAACATATATCTTCAGTAAATGTTTTACTGTTGTTACTGCTGCAAAACTCGGGCGATTTACACACTTTAATCACTGCCTCAGTCTGGCGGTGACAGTTTTAATTTGTGTGACCGTCCCTAGCGCTGCCCGGTTATTCCAAGTCCATTATTTTATTCTCTGTAGTTCGATGGGTATTGATAAACAGTTCATTTCCCTGAACACTAGTTGCAGCACTCTGCACTCCCTTTCATCCCTACTGTAAACCTCAATAGGTTAGAGCGCCATTGAAGCCTCGTTTAATTGGTCTGTATTAGGTTTTACAACCACCGAAGATTAGAGTTTTGTATTCAGCTACAACACTACAACAATGTGTATGGAGTCAGCCTCCACCACATCACTTCCTAATGCAGTCCATTTGTCAACCACTCTGGCACTAAAAAAATTATTTCTAATATCTCTGTGGCTCATTTGGGCATTCAGTTTCCACCTGTGTTCCCTAGTGCGTGTGTTCCTTGTGTTAAATAGACTGTCTTTATCTACCCTGTCAATTCCCTTGAGAATCTTAAATGTGGTGATCATGTCCCCCCCTAACTCCTCTGTCTTCCAACAAAGTGAGGTTTAATTCCCGTAGTCTCTCCTCATAGCTCATACCTTTCAGCTCGGGTACTAGTTTGGTGGCAAACCTTTGAACCTTTTCTAGTTTAGTCTTATCCTTGACTAGATATGGACTCCATGCTAGGGCTGCATACTCCAGGATTGGCCTGACATATGTGTGTGTGTGTGTGTGTGTGTGTGTGTGTGTGTGTGTGTGTGTGTGTGTGTGTGTGTGTGTGTGTGTGTGTGTGTGTGTGTGCGTGTGTGCAGGTCCCTGCGTTATTACACGAGCTGTTTAGCGAAAAGCGCGGGGGGGGGGGGGGGGAGAGGAGGAGAGAGAGAGACAGTATTACGTGCGTGAGTTGACTTAATCCCCACACACAGGAGGGGGGAGCATGGGGCAGGGGGGGAGTAAGTACACTAACAGTACCCTGCTAGGACTGTACAGCTTCGCCAGGTACTCGTTGTACACTGCTAGCGGCGGTAAAACTCCAGCTGGGTAGCGAATGCATCTTTAACAACGTTGCACTTGCAAGTTTTGCCTTTTATAGGCACACACATTTTTTTTACTTGCTGGCTGACGTAACGACCAGCAGCCGCATGAATGCTGAAGTCAACACGCCGACGGTGTTAACTGAGGGAGAAATACTTCCACGAATTTCAGGAACGACAAGAATGAAAGCAGAAGCAGCAGCAGCAGCAGCAGTAGTAGCATTAACAACAGCAGTAGCAACAACAGCAGCAGCAACAGCAGCAGCAGCAGCAGTAGTAGCAGCAGCAGCAGTAGTAGCATTGATAACAGCAGTAGCAACAACAGCAGCAGCAGCAGCAGTAGTAGCATTGATAACAGCAGTAGCAACAACAGCAGCAGCTGGAACAGCAGCAGCAGCAGCAGTAGTAGCATTAACAACAGCAGTAGCAACAGCAGCAGCAGCAGCAGCAGTAGTAGCATTAACAACAGCAGTAGCAACAACCTCAGCATCAGCAGCATCTACAGTAGCAACAACTACAACAGCAACAACTACAACAGCAACAACTACAACAGCAACTACAACAGCAACAACAGCAGCAGCACCTACAACAGCAACAACAGCAGCAGCAACTACAACAGCAACAACTACAACAGCAACAACAGCAGCAGCACCTACAACAGCAACAACAGCAGCAGCACCTACAACAGCAACAACAGCAACAACAGCAGCAGCAACTACAACAGCAACAA